AAGAGATTAGGAGGAACTACCTGACAGTAAGAACTGTTCGAAAATGGAACACATTCCCTTGTTGTGTGGTGGAGTCTCCTTCTTTGGAGAACTTTAAACAGAGGCTGGATGGCCATCCGTCGGGGAAGGTTTGATTTTGAGTTAAATTCAGTTCAGGTAAACCATTTTATTTTACCTTTGCGATAGTCTCCTAGGTATTCCTGCATGGCAGAATGGGGTTGACTGGATGGCCCTTGGGGTCTCTTCCAACTCTATGATTCTATGACTCTATGGCATTAGATCCCACCTGATTTTGGAAACTAAACAGGATCAGCCCTGGTTTGGACTTGGAAAGGAGAATGCAGAGGAATCCCAGGTGCTGTAGGCGCTATTTCAGAGGAGGGAAAAACCACCTCAGAGGATTCCTGGCCTAAGAAAACCCTCTGAAATTCATAGGGTTGCCATAAGTCAACAGGCAACTTGCAAGCACATACATAGTTGTCTATACCTAAATACCCTAAAGGCACGAGATCCCATCTGATCCCATCTGATCTGGAAGCTAAGAAGGGGTTAGCCCTGGTTAGTCCTTGGATGGGAGACTGCCAATAAGCACAAGTGCTGTAGGTGTTATTTCAGAGGATGAAACTGGCAAAATCACCCCTGAGTATTCCTTGTCTAAGAAAACCCACTGAAATTTATAGAGTTGCCATAAGTCAACAAGCAACTTGAAGGTACACACATACAGGAAGTCATCTTTATGCCTAAATACCCCAAAGGCACCAGATCTTGTCTGATCCTGGAAGTTAAGAAGGATCAGTCCTGGTTAGTCCTTGGCTGGAAGACCACCAACCAATACCAAGTGCTGGAAGAAGGAACTGGCAAATCCACCTCTCAGTACTCCTTGTCTGAGAAAACCCTATAAAATTAATGGGGTGCCTGTACATCAAAAGGTAACTTGAAGGCACGTGCATATACACAACACCTCCACATGTTTAGGGGCATCTGGGAGACATAAATGCACACATGACCCATGGGTCACAGCATATAGGAAGAAGTGGCATTCTCCCCTTCCTTGGTTTATATTCCTTTGTCTGCTCTTTAGCTTGCAACAAACCCGAGTGCCCACTTCTGCACAAAGTGCTAACTGACCCAAAAAGAACCTGAACAATTCTGCAAAAGTGTTCCATTTTGATTCTGCAAGCTGAAGCCTTGGACCCGAATGCTCCCCAAAGGGATGACGGATCAAGGTGGTGGAATCCAACAAAGTGGCCGGCGGTCATATGAAATCCTATCACTTGGCACAGACTGAATCATGTATGTACCAGATCTGTTCTATGGTGGTGCTGTCAGACCTTATGGGGGATGCCATGCACAGGATGAACAAGGAAGAGTGCAAAGATTGAGTAAAGCACACTGCACAACTTGAGAAACGCAAACATTAAGATGCACGACTTGAGTTTTATTCTTGTTGCAGGTGATGATCTGGGTTGTCAGTCAATCAGGGAATATTTGATCACTCTGCTTAAGGTTTAATATGCATTAATCTCCTGACATTTCGTACGCACATTGCCAGAACTTCAACAGAGCTGCCTCTTTGGAGACACTGAAGGAAATGCAAGAAAGTTACTTATAATTTAATAATCAAAAGGTACTCCCATTCATTATCTTAAGGATGGAAAAGTGCAGCCAAACCCACCCCATCCCACCTCAATTTTTCTTTAAAAAAGAATTTGCAGATGACATCAAATTAGGAGGAGTAGCTAATACCCCAGAGGACAGGATCAAAATTCAAAAAAACCTTAATAAATTAGAAAGCTGGGCCAAAGCTAACAAAATATATTTCAACACAGAGAAATGTAAGGTATTGCACTTAGTGCAAAAAATAATAATAAATGAAATGCATAGATATAAGATGGGGGACACCTGGCTTAAGAGAGTCTGTGTGAAAGGGATCTAGGAGTCCTAGTAGACCACTAGTTGAACATGAGTCAACAGTGTGAGGCAGCAGCTAAAAAGGCCAATGCAATTTTAGGCTGCATCAATAGAAGTATAGTGTCTAGATCAAAGGAAGTCATAGTGCCACTGTATTCTGAATATGTGTCCAGTTCTGGGCACCACAATTCAAAAAGGAGGTTGAGAAGCTGGAGCGTGTCCAGAGGAGGGCGACTAAAATGGTGAAGGGTCTGGAAACCATGAATCTCTATGATGAGAGACTTAGGGAGCTGGGGATGTTTAGCCTGGAGAAAAGAAGGTTAAGATTGGAGATGATAGCCCTGTTTAAGTATTTGAAGGAGTGTCATATTGAGGAGGGAGCAAGCTTGTTTTCTGCTGCTCCAGAGAATAGGACACAATGGAGCAATGGATTCAAGCGACAGGAAAAAAGATTCCACCTCAACATTAGGAGGAACTTCCTGACAGTAAGGGCTGTTCGACAATGAAAGACACTCCCTTGGAGATTTTGGTGGAGTCTCCTTCTTTGGAGCTCTTTAAGCAGAGGTGGATGGCCATCTGTCGGGGATGCTTTGATTGAGAGTTCCTGCATGCCAGAAGGGGTTGGACTGGATGGCCCTTGGGGTCTCTTCCAACTCTATGATTCTATGATTCTCTGC